TAACTCGAGTTTGGCTACGAATTTGACCAAACCTCCAAGGCAAAAGTTGTTTGTATTATTATTTTACATAACATATATTTTTTCAGATTTTTTGGAGAACTTTTTTTTTCTTTTTTTTTTTTTTATGTTCGCGTTCGGAGAGTTTCGGCGCTCGTTCGCATTCGGTCCCGAACGTTTGGGTTCGGTCACCGAACCCAAACACGATGCTACACAGATAAAAACTAATAAAAATAAAAACTAAGCGGCAACCACAAGAAGAATATAAGATGTAAATAAAACAAAAAAAACAGCAAAGAAGAAAAAGAAGAAAAAAAAGAACAAGAACGAGAAAAGAAGAACAAGAAGAATAAGAAGAAAAACAAAAAGAAGGAAAATAAGAAGAAGAAGTAGAAGAAAAACGAACTTTCTCTTTCTCTCTCTCTCTCTCTCTCTCTCTCTCTCTCTCTCTCTCTCTCTCTCACAACCGAAGAAGCCGAAGAAGAAGAAGAAAAAGAAGAAGAAGAAAAGGAAGCGAAAACCAAAGTTTGCAACGGGAAGAAGAAATAGATGGAAAAAATAGGCATCAAAGAAGAAGAAGACGAAGAAGAGGAAAAGGAAGCAAACACCAAAGTGGCCAACGTGAAGAAGAATATAATGAAAAAAAAAAGCCAGCAAAGAAGGAGGAGGAGGAGGAGGAGGGGGAGGAGGGGGAGGAGGGGGGGAGGGGGAGGAGAAAAATAAGAGCTAGAAGGAGAAATGAAGAAGAAGAAGAAGAAGAAGAAGAAGAAGAAGAAGAAAAAGAAAGAAGAAGAAGAAGAAAATATAAAGAAGATGGAAGAAGAAAAAAAGTCGATAACGAGAAGAAGAAGAAACAGATTAAAAAAAAAGGCAGCAAAGAAGAAGAAGAAGCAGAAGAATTGAATTAAATTGAAGTAGCGAGGTCGATCAGTACGCGTCCATGTTCATAGAGTAGGCGTAATTGCACCTACATGGACTTTCATCTCAACGCACACATTTCCTGACATGTTTCACTTGGCTGTGCGCCAGAACTTCTCAAGGGGCTACCACACTCTCACATCCACCGAAACGTACTGCCTAGAGCAAAAGAGAGTTGTTCAGGCCTTGCCCTCAAATGATATAGTACAACTTGCCTCCACGTGTGCACCCTCGTGGCGGCATGTCCCGTGTGGCTGTAAATGACTGCGTGGACGTCTTATTGGCTCGTCGGTAACAGACCAGGTGTGTCGGACCCTAGACACGTTTGACGTAATGTACAAGCACTTTTATACAGTCCCAACCTACCTTGTTTCTATTTTCTGTTTTCTTATTCATGGTCTTTCCGTACCATGCTACTATTTCCCTCCCTTTACCCCTCGTATCCCCTTACCGCCCTCTTAACAACATAAAAATTTCCACGGGAAATTAAACTTGAAAAAACATTCCATAAAAAAGAATCCGTCATATTTATAAATTATCATTCCAACGTTCGTCCAATTCTAAAATTTACAGTTTTATTTGATAAGTTCCCGTCTAAGTATGAGTTTTCCCTTCCAACTACGTCTATTTGTTCAAGATTGAATGAAAGTATGAACGAGTTTATGAAATGTTTTAATTAAACTTTTATTCTACTATAATAAATATCTTCTAATTTAGATTGGATTAGCCTATTTATGACTGAAAATCCTTGTTTAAAATGACAGTCAAATTAAAATATTTCATGAACTCATCCAGACTTTGATTCCATCTCTAGCATGCAGTTCAAATAAGAAGGGATACCCCATTCTTGGAAGGAAAGTTTTCAAGTAAGATGGAAATTTTTTAAATTGGAATGACCTTTTTTAATGATGGAATGAAATTTTAAAATTTAGAATGTAATTTATTATAGAATGATTATTTAATTTTGAAAACTTTTTCTTTTGAATAATGTACATTTTTCCATCTCTGCCCTGTTCTTCCTCCCTCACTACTTACTATGGTACAACCCTACTTCTGTCTCCGCTCCCAAACCCTATTGCTTAACAGTAATTTTTGCCCATTCCTTTCGTGGTTGTATGTTTTGTCTCTAACTTGACCAGCTGTTCGGTAAACGTCTTCAACGCTGTCCAAAACGAACCGGTGAAAAAGAAAA